ACTACAGTGAACACATATTCTTACTTATGCACGAAGCTTAGCTTTTGACCATCAAAAGCCAATAATTTGACTCACGTTCTCTGCAGATTTGGCTACTCAATTCTTGTTTGTCTTCTGTGATGCCATTCTTCCCTCAACTGACAAATACTGTTGACCAAATAGGGAAAAAAATCTGAGGGAGAAGAAATGAGATCAGATCAAGATACAGTTGGGTAATATTTAGCATTTTATCCTGTACAATGGGGTTCAACTATGCTGATACAGCAGTGGAGGAGGACCAGCAAGGGAGAAATATGAGAGATTTTGTCAAGGTAAAATTAACAGGATTCATTATCTCCAATTTTACAAAAACCTTTCTGGTTCCTCAGGTTTTATTTCAGAGAATTAAATAAATCATTAAGCAACTTATCAAAATTGGCCATGTCTAAATAATGGAAAATTAGAAGTGGATTCTATCCTAAACTTTCACATTTTCATTTTCTTCTCTTTTCATGTTTTACCATGTTTTGTGTCAGCTAAACAAACTTGCTTACTTAGCATCTGATATAGCTTGGATGTTTGTCCCTAGAAATCTCATGCTAAAATATAATCCCCCATGTTGGAGGTGGGGCCTGGTGGGAGGTGTCTGGGTCACGGAGGTGGATCCCTCATGAATGGCTTGGTGCCATACCCATGGTAATGAGTGAGTTCCCACTCTGGTAGTTCATGGCAGAGTTGATTGTTTCAAAGAATGTGGCACTTCCCCCTTCTCTCTTGCTCCCTCTCCTGCCATGTGACATGCTGGCTCCCCTTTCCTTTCACCATGATTAAAAGCTTCCTGTGGCCCTAATTGGGAGCAGATGCTGGTACCAGGCATCCTGTACAGCCTGCAGAACCAGGAGCCAAAATAAACATCTCTAAGAATAAATTACCCAGTCTCAGGTATTCCTTTATAGCAATTCAAACAGACTCATACAGTATCCTTCATGTGTTCCCAGACCCATGCTTCTATATAAACTGTTCCCCTAAAAGCACCTGTCATGATGAGAATGGGCTTACTTGGGTGGCACTTACTAGTCCCTGAGGCCTGAGCTGAAAGAAACGAGAGCTATTCTATCAAAGGCTGTACCTGGACATCTGGCTACATGTCCCACATCAGTGCTTAGAGGCAGAACTTATAGCTTGCAAACCAGGCAAGAAGGAGAGATAAGTATGGTCTGGTCCATCAGGCAAAGTAGGGGTCAGGAATATCCATCACTGCTGGGGGTTTCTGGGAGAGGATGGGCATTCACAACAGCACTCTTATATGGTGCTTGTGGGAGGGAGGACAAGATCCAAGGGACATATCCAGTCTCCAACAAAAGGAGCTATGCAGGTTATCACCTCCTACGGGAGGTCTGGGATATGAGGTAGGATGAGATGTATGGAAGTCAATACTTTGGATTAGATCTGCACTGGGATAGGTTATAGCTATAACTGGAAGCCTGCTACAGTGCCCAGGAATAGTCCTGCTCACAGAAAGGTGGTCTGGTTAGTGTTCTGTCTCAATCCTAGGCACCAATGGTTCAGGAAGAGGGGTAGTCCTGAGCTTGGGGCTATAAGGAACTGGAAAATTCTATAAATTCCATGAGAAGAGACACAAAGCATAGAGTCAGGACAGCATAAGAGGCAGGTGACAAACAAATTTCACTAGAATGTAAGTTCTATGAGGGCAGTGATTTTTGTCTATTCAATGTACTTGTAGATCCTTTGAATCTGGAACAGTTCCTGGTACACCACAGGCACTTAATAAGCATTTGTGTAAAGAATGAATGAAATCACAGTTTTGCCTTTATCCAGCTGTGTAACCCTAGGAAAAACATAGCTTCAGTTTTTCTTAGATTTTGGGTTTTCTACACAATGTATTTTTGTAGGCAGAATTTTGGCCCTCATGACCTTCATCTGCAAGTGTTACTTCCATTCATATATTATGTTACATGGCAGAAAGGGACTTTGTAGTTATAGTAAAGGCTACAATGAATTGACTTTAAGATAGGAAGATTATCTTGGATTATGTGAATTGACCTAATCTAAGCACATATACCCTGAAAAGCAGAGATCTTTCTCCAGTTCATAGCAGAAAGAGAAGTCAGAGGTTCTGAGACACAAGGAGGATTTGATGTGTTATTGTTGGCTTGAAGATGAAGAAAGACATATGCCAAGAAAATGGTGACCTCAGTCCTACAACCACAGGGAAGTGAAGTCTACCAGGAACTTGAATTACCTTGGAAGTGGAGTCTTCCCCAGAGCCCAACTAAAACCTTGATTTCTGTCTTGTGAGTCTCTGAGCAGCAGATCCAGTTGAGTTACTCTGTACTTAGACTTCTGATCTATAGAAATGTGGTAGAATAAGAGGGTGTGCTTTAAGCCACCAAATTTGTGGGAATTTGCAATGACAGCAATAGAAAAGCAATATGGAAAAATAGAGCAATAGATAGATAGATAATAGAATAGATTTCAGCATATATAAAATATATAATATTCAGAATGTATATGTATACATATACATATATATTGCCTGGCATAGTCTAATCATTAATAATAGTAACTAAAGCCTTCAATTCTCATGCCTTATAAAGAAATTTCAAGCTCCCTCCTCAATCCTTCCTTAGTAGTCATCTCCTAGTCCTAATCACTTCATTAATTTTGTAATAAGATGCTCCCTATGGACCTAATTTTGCATTAATTCTTTAGGCAAGCATCTCTTTCTGAGATTAGAATCAACAGTGAAGGATTGTTTGGGTATGAAAAGACTTAGTCTATCAAAGCAGGCTGTCTCTGTTATGTTTAGAAGAGACATGTCATAAAAGAGCAGTTTGGGAGAGGACTAGAATGCATCTCCCACTTGGACTAGAAGCATGTGGAGTCGTGCACTTTTGCTCCAGAACTACTGCAGGAATAATTCAAGAAAGGTGAGAGAACGCACAGACCCTCTGAAGGAAGTGGATTGCTCCTGCAGGACCCAGAAGACACCGCAAATACTGTGAATGCCCAAACTGTGGAAGTGTGAAAGAGCGAACATCTGCCCCTGAACACACACCCTCACTGGGAAACCTGAGGGTCTGAATCACGGGAGAAGACTTTGACCTTATCTGGAGCTGAGTCAATTTAGAGAGCCAAGTGAAACAGAGGGGTAGAGGAAGCAGTGGGAAAAGCCCTGTAGGCTCTCCAGGTTCCCAGGAAGCCATTTGTGACTTGCCTCACAAGGCCACCCCGAGCTGCTACAGGAACTGGGAAAAGGCCACAGGGAGAAGGAAACCTCCAGCTGAACTTCGTAACAATTCCAACTGAGAGAGAAGTCTCCCGACCCGGGAGTTGGGGAAGGGTGTTAATCCAGTATGCAGACTCCACAGGCAGAGAAGCATGAAAGCCCTACTTGCTTTCGCACCTGGGAGGCTTGTAGCCTAGGGCAAGTTCTCGTTCCTGATTACCCACTGCCTGGAAACACACTCAGTGATGTTGGTGGGAGGCACAACGGGAGTGAGAGTGGCCTTCTGGGTTTTGTGAGACCTGGGTGAGGCCTGTGACTGCTGGCTTCCTTCCACTTCCCTAACAACCTGCATGCCACAGTACAGGCAGCCATAATCTTACCGGGAACATAACTCTATTAATCTTGGAACCACATCCCATCTTCCACAACAGCGGCAGCAGACTCACTCAAGAAGACTCTGAGCTCTAACTCACCTAGCCCTGCCACCATCTGATGGTTCTTTCCTACCCACCCTGGTAGCCGAAGACAAAGGGCATATACTTTTGGGGGTTCTAGGGCCCCACCCACCACCTGATCCTCCCCATACTAACACAGCCGATATTCTCTTGAAAGCACCACCTTCCAGCAGGCCAACCAGCACAAATATAGTGCATTAAACAACCAAAAATAAAGATCTTCACGGAGGCTGTTTCATCCCTCTGCCACTTCCACCAGAGCAGGTACTGGTATCCACTGCTGAGAGACCCACAGATGATTCAGATCACAGAACTCTGTGCAGACAATCCCCATACTAGCCCAGAGTCTGGTATACCTGCTGGGTATATATCCTGGAGATAGTAGTCCTACAGTTCAGCTCTCAGAGAGCCACATACCTAGAAAATGGGGAGGGGGCTCTCGATCCAAGATGGCCGTTTAGGAACAGCTCAGGATTGCAGCTCCCAGTGAAAGCACAGAGGGTGAGTGGACGCCGCATTTTTATTGCCCACAGACTAGGAAATTCCCAGGCAGAGGAGCTCCACAGGTCACCAGCGCGGCTGTTTCGGCCAGCGCGGCTGTGCCGGCCGGCGCCGCTGCTTTGCCCCGCGCGGCTGCTTTGTCGGCACCCTGGAGCAGCGGTTCTCCGTACAAAATACACCAGTCAGGGTGCCCTTTTGGCTGGCGATTGGAGCCACGGGAAGTCGCCCATTCATCTGTTTAAAAAGGGGACTGAGCAGGGAACCAGGACAGTAGATTCCAGGGCGCAAAAAAAAAAAAAAAAAGAAAGCGCCAAAAACCTCAGTGCCGCTGTTTAAGCCAGCGCAATGAGTGGCTGCAGGGGAAAACAAACAGACTCCAGAGCCTCTTCAACAGGCAACTGGAACACCAACTTAAAAAAGGCTCTGAGGCAGGGAGCCAGGCGATCAGGCTCGGCTGGTCCCACCCCCACAAAAGAACAGCAATCAGAAACTCTGGATTGAGAGTTTCACAGCAAGCGCAGCTGAACCCGGGACGGTCCAGCTCTGTGGAGGAGGGGCGTCCGCCATTACCGAGGCAGCCTGCCATGACAGAGGTAGTCGGCCAATGCTGAGGCAGCCCGCCGTTGCCAAGGCAACCCGCCACAGCAGAGATACTCCACCTCAACAGAGGCGGGCCACCATTGCCAAAGCAGTTCTAACTACACCCATATAAGCAGGACTGCAAGGAAGTTAACTCGGCAGCTGGGCAGAGCCCACAGCAGCTCAGCAAAGCCTCTACAGGCCGACAGTGACTAGGCTGCCTCCTTGCTGGGCAGGGCAGGTCTGAAGGAAAAAAAAAAGAAGGCAGCAGCATAACGGAAACTCATAAATAAAGCCCTAAATCCCTGGGACAGAGCACCTGGGAACAAAAAGCAGTTTATGAGTTCTGCTGCAGCAGACCTAAAAGTACCTGCCCAGCAGCTCTGAATGAACAACAGAGCTCACAGATGACCATTTGAGCTCCTATAAAGAAGAGACCGTCTCCTCAAGCAGCTCCGTTACCCCTATATATCCAAAGAGACACCTCATAAAGGAGAGATCAGATTGACACTAGGCGGGTATCCTTCTGGGACAAAGACAGCAGAAGAAGAAAACTGGTAACAACCCTTACTGTTCAGCAGCTGCTGCAGGTGAACCCCAGGCAAGCAGGGCCTGGAGTGAACCTCAGCAGACCTACAGCAGAGGGGCCAGACTGTCAGAAGGAAAACCAAGAAACAGAAATAACCTCATCATCAACAAACAGAACATAAATCTGAAAGATTTGAGACCCAATCTGAAAGCCAGCAACTACAAAGTCAACAGGTGGATAAATCCTTAAAGATGGGAAGAAACCAGCGCAAAAAGGATGAAAACACTCGAAACCAGAACACCTCTCCTCCTACAAGGGATCACAACTCCTCGCCAGCAAAGGAACAAGGTTGGAGGGAGAACGAGTGTGATGAAATGACAGAATCAGACTTCAGAAGGTGGGTAGTAAGAAACTTCTGTGAACTTAAAGAACATGTTCTCACCAAATGCAAAGAAACTAAGAACGTTGAAAAAAGATTTGACGAAATGCTAATGAGAATGGACAAAATAGAAAGGAATATAAGTGAATTGATGGAGCTGAAAAACACAACATGAGAACTTTGCAAAGCATGCACAAGTATCAACAGCCGAATTGACCAAGCAGAAGAAAGGATATCAGAGGTCGAAGATCAACTCAATGAAATAAAACGGGAAGGCAAGACTGGAGAAAAAAGGGTAAAAAGGAATGAACAAAATCTCCAAGAAATGCGGGACTATGTGAAAAGACCTAATCTACGTTTGATAGGTGTACCTGAATGCGACGAAGAGAACGAATCCAAGCTGGAAAATACTCTTCAGGATATTATCCAGGAAAACTTCCCCAACCTAGCAAGGCAGGCAAACATTCAAGTCCAGGAAATACAGAGAACACCACAAAGGTATTCATCAAGAAGAGCAACCCCAAGGCAGATAATTGTCAGATTCACCAGGGTTGAAATGAAGGAGAAAATACTAAGGGCAGCCAGAGAGAAAGGTCGGGTTACCCACAAAGGGAAGCCCATCAGACTCACAGCAGATCTCTCAGCAGAAACCCTACAAGCCAGAAGAGAGTGGGGGCCAATATTCAACATCCTTAAAGAAAAGAATTTTCAACCCAGAATCTCCTATCCAGCCAAACTAAGCTTCATAAGTGAAGGAAAAATAAAATCCTTTGGGAACATGCAAGTACTCAGAGATTTCGTCACCACCAGGCCAGCTCTATAAGAGCTCCTGAAAGAGGCTCTACACATATAAAGGAACAACAAGTACCAGCTCAACTAAAGGGCAAAACACCCAGCTAGCACCAAAATGGCAGTATCAAATTTGCACATAACAATATTAACCCTAAATGTAAATGGACTAAATGCCCCAATCAAAAGACACAGGCTGACAAATTGGATAAAAAAAAAAAAAACCCATCGGTGTGCTGTATCCAGGAAACCCATCTCACATGCAAGGATACGCAAAGGCTCAAAATAAAGGGATGGAGGAAGATTTACCAAGCAAATGGAGAGCAAAAAAAAGCAGGAGTTGCAATTCTCATCTCTGATAAATTAGACTTTAAAGCAACAAAGATCATAAGAGACAAAGAGGGACATTACATAATGGTAAAAGGATCAATGCAACAAGAAGAGCTAACGATCCTAAATATATACGCACCCAATACAGATACATACGCACCCAGATACATAAGGCAAGTTCTTAATGACTTACAAAGAGACTTAGACTCCCATACAATAATAATGGGAGACTTTAACACCCCATTGTCAACATTAGACAGATCAACCAGACAGAAAATTAACAAGGATATTCAAGACTTGAACTCAGACCTGGACCAACCAAACCTAATAGACATTTACAGAACTCTCCATTCCAAATCCACAGAATATACATTCTTCTCAGCACCACATCACACCTACTCTAAAATTGACCACATAATTGGGAGTAAATCACTCTTTGGCAAATGCAAAAGAACGGACATCGTAACAAACAGTCTCTCAGACCACAGTGCAATCAAGTTAGAACTCAGAATTCAAAAACTAACCCAGAACTGCATAGCTTCATGGAAACTGAAAACTTGCTCTTGAATGTTGACTGGATAAACAATGAAATGAAGACAGAAATAAAGATGTTCTTCGAAACCAACGAGAATAAAGACACAACTTACCAGAATCTCTGGGACACATTTAAAGCAGTTTCTAGAGGAAAATATATAGCAATAAGTGCCCACATGAGAAGCAAGGAGAGATCAAAAATTGACACCCTATCATCAAAACTGAAAGAGCTAGAGGAGCAAGATCAAAAAAACTCAAAGTCTAGCAGAAGACAGGAAATAGCTAAGATCAGAGCAGAACTGAAGGAGATAGAGACACAAAAAACCCTTCAAAAAATCAATAAATCCAGGAACTGGTTTTTTGAAAAGATCAACAAAATAGACAGACCACTAGCCAGATTAATAAAAAAGAAAAGAGAGAATAATCAAATTGATGCAATAAAAAACGATAAAGGGGATATCACCACAGATTCCACAGAAATTCAAACCATCATCAGAGATTATTACAAACAACTCTATGCACACAAACTAATAAACCTGGAAGAAATGGATAAATTCCTGGACACTTGCCTCCTCCCAAGCCTAAACCAGGAAGAAGCCAAAACCCTGAACAGACCCATAACAAGGTCTGAAGTTGAGGCAGCAATTAAGAGCTTACCACCCAAAAAAAGCCCAGGTCCAGACGGGTTCACAGCCGAATTCTACCAGACATACAAAGAGGAGCTGGTACCATTCCTTCTGCAACTATTCCAAACAATACAAAAAGAGGGAATTCTTCCCAAATCATTTTATGAGACCAACATCATCTTGATTCCAAAACCCGGCAGAGACTCAACAAGAAAAGAAAACTTCAGGCCAATATCCATGATGAACATAGATGCAAAAATCTTCAATAAAATACTGACAAGCCGATTGCAACAGCACATCAAAAAGCTTATCCACCATGATCAAGTAGGCTTCATCCCGGGGATGCAAGGCTGGTTCAACATACGCAAGTTTATAAACGTAATTCACCACATAAACAGAACCAAAGACAAAAACCACACGATTATCTCAATTGATGCAGAGAAGGCCTTTGACAAAATTCAACAACCCTTTATGCTAAAAACCCTCAATAAGCTAGGTATTGATGGAACGTATCTCAAAATAATAAAAGCTATTTATGACAAACCAACAGCCAATATCATACTGAATGGGCAAAAACTGGAAGCATTCCCCTTGAAATGTGGCACCAGACAAGGATGCCCTCTCTCACCACTGCTATTCAATATAGTATTAGATGTTCTAGCCAGAACAATCAGGCAAGAAAAAGAAATAAAGGGCATTCAAATAGGAAAGGAGGAAGTCAAATTGTCTCTATTTGCAGACGACATGATTGTATATCTAGAAGACCCCATTGTCTCAGCCCCAAATCTCCTGAAACTGATCAGCAAGTTCAGCAAAGTCTCAGGATATGAAATCAATGTGCAAAAATCACATGCATTCCTATACACCAATAACGGACTTAAAGAGAGCCAAATCAAGAACAAACTTCCATTCACAATTGCCACAAAGAGAATAAAATACCTAGGAATACAAATAACAAGGAACGTAAAGGACTTCTTCAAGGAGAACTGCAAGCCACTGCTCAACGAAATAAGAGAGGACACAAACAGATGGAGAAACATTCCATGTTCATGGTTAGGAAGAATCAATATCGTGAAAATGGCCATACTGCCCAAAGTAATTTACAGATTCAATGCTATCCCCATCAAGCTACCAATGACCTTCTTCGCAGAACTGGAAAAAACCACCTTAAACTTCATATGGAACCAAAACAGAGCCCGCATAGCCAAGTCAATTCTAAGCAAAAAGAACAAAGCGGGAGGCATCACACTACCGGACTTCAAACTATATTACAGGGCTACAGTAATCAAAACAGAATGGTACTGGTCCCAAAACAGAGATATAGACCAATGGAACAGAACAGAGATCTTGTAGGCAACACAACATATCTACAACCATCTGATCTTTGACAAACCCGACAAAAACAAGCAATGGGGAAAAGATTCCCTGTTCAATAAATGGTGTTGGGAAAGCTGGCTAGCCATGTGCAGAAAGCAGAAACTGGACCTCTTCCTGACAGCTTACACTAAAATTAACTTCAGATGGATTAAAGACTTAAACATAAGACCTAACACCATAAAAACCCTAGAAGAAAATCTAGGCAAAACCATTCAGGACATAGGTGTAGGCAAGGACTTCATAACCAAAACACAAAAGCATTGACAACAAAAGCCAAAATAGACAAATGGGACCTAATCAAACTCCACAGCTTCTGCACAGCAAAAGAAACAGTCGTTAGAGTGAATCGGCAACCAACAGAATGAGAAAAAATTTTTGCAGTTTACCCATCTGACAAAGGGCTGATATCCAGAATTTACAAAGAACTAAAACAGATTTACAAGAAAAAAACTAACAAGCCCATTCAAAAGTGGGCAAAGGATATGAACAGACACTTTACAAAAGAAGACATACATGAGGCCAACAAACATATGAAAAAATGCTCATCATCACTGGTCATCAGAGAAATGCAAATCAAAACATCATTGAGATACCATCTCACACCAGTTAGAATGGCGATCATTAAAAAATCTGGAGACAACAGATGCTGGAGAGGATGCGGAGAAATAGGAACACTT